AGGGTGCTTTTTCAAAGGTGCTTTTCTCATCTTCAGTTCTGAGTGAAGAAATTGCGTCAGTCAGAACTGAAGAAGCTTCTTGGATGAGAAGTGAAACGTCTTCAGAGAAAAAAAGCAGAAAGTTCCCGTGCCTCTTGAAAAAGACAACCATGGGACAACCATGACCTGGATGATTGAGAAGCTCCAAAGAAAGTTAGGAGACACCACAATGGGACAGAGACGTCCTGGGCATGGGGGGCCAAGACCTCAACCATTCGGAGTCAAGACACCCCTTTGGCTTAGCGTTATTATCTCCGTATGCCCATCCCAACTCTCACCATGAGGTGGCCTCGGAGGACCAGGGGGATGATCTCCGTCTCGGGAGGTGAGTATCCGTAGTCGTCGCAAGGGAGGTCCCCTCTTCGCCGCCGACTGTGGGAAAGCTCGTTTTGTCCGTAATTCTTGGGGCACAAGACTTTGTAGAGACAAAAGAGGAGGAGGACCAAAAGGATGCCGGACGCCAGACCAAGGGCAGCCACCCTGGAAGGAGAGGAGGAGAAGACATGGGGGACCTGAAGCCTACATCTTCTCCATATTCCAAAGATCGCAGTAGGAACCAAAAGACATTTCAGGTGAGGAGAAGGTAGCCCAGATACAGGTAGTCCTCGACTTACAACAGTTCATTTAGTTACAACAGCAGTGAAAAAAGCAACTTACATCTGCTTTTCACACTTATACGCCTGTTCGCAACATCCCTACGGTTATACGTGATCAAAATCCGGACGCTCGCCAAACGGCTCGCAATGTCCCGGGGTGCCCCGGGGCTCCCGCGATCCCCATCTCCTATATCCAGGGGACGCCGGAAGAACAAGGGACCTGTTGTGGTGGCGGCCAGATTCCAACCATGGAGGAGCGTTTGGGACCCCATAGGCCGCGTTTGGTGGGAGCTGGAGACACCACAATTGGGGTCATCCTGAGTAACCGGGACACTGCCCCATCGCTGACCGTCCCAGGACTCACTTATAGAGGGTGACGTCTCGCGGGCTGTGTCCTTTGGGCTTCTCTTCTGACAGCCGGTCCGCCTGCTCTTCTTTCACGACGCCCAACGAGAAGGAGGACTGGTACCGGTTGGCTTCGTGGGGATGACGCGCCTCCAAGGCCTCTTGGGGGTCCAGGTAGAGGGTGACAGGGATGACCGGAAGGATGCTAATGTACCTGGAGAAAGAGAAGAACTGATTGGAGAACGAGGCATCCGAGAGGATTCCCGGAGGCAGATCACGGGAACTCAATGCCCCAAAGATGGCTGTCTTCAATCGCAGCTCTTCGCCCGTCCAAAAGAGCCACTTAACAGCCCCGGTCCAGGATTCAGAACGTAACACCTCCAAGACCTGGGAATTCTTGGTGAGACTGAAAAAGTGACATTAATTGCTTGAAAAGCCCTTCTGGTGGCTTGGGGCCTGCATGGGTTGTTCCCACTTCCCGACATTTAGAGCAGGGTTGGTCCGCCGTGGGGATTTTGAGAAGTACGGATTTCAATTCCCACAATTCTCAGATGAGTCAGTTTGCCAGAAATTGACAACTGTAGAGTAACAACTAATGAAGGGACCAACAAAAACATTTCCCACCAAACAGCCACGATAAGCAATTACTATATAAACATAGAGCAAATCCCACGCCTTCTAACAATGATAACGTTCCCTAGCTGGGTAATGAAATGCCTACAAGACAACAACTAAGCTCAGATAGCACTATGGTCCCCACAATACTTTTCCTGTTCCTCTTCCTCCTCCTCCTTGCTCCTGCACAAATCCTACTACCTTCTACGATAGATGATGTTACCTAGTTGGGTCATGAAATGTCTGCAAGAGAACAACCGAGCTCTGAGAGCAGAAAGGACCCCCACAGTTCTCCTCCTCCTCCTTCCTCCTTTCCTCCCTCCCTTCTTTCCTCTTCCTCCTCCTCTTCCTCCCTTCCACCCTTCTTTCCTCTTCCTCCTCCTCCTCTTCCTCCCTCCCTTCTTTCCTCTTTCTCCTCCTCTTCCTCCCTTTCTCCCTCCCTTCTTTCCTCTTCCTCCTCCTCCTTTCCTCCCTTCCTTCTTTCCTCTTCCTCTTCCCTCCCTCCTTTCCTTCTTTCCTCTTCCTCCTCTTCCTCCCTCCCTCCCTCTCTTCTTTCCTCTTCCTCCTCCTCCCTCCCTCCCTCCCTTCTTTCCTCTTCCTCCTCCTCCTTCCTCCTAGTACTTCCCTAGTTGGGTTATGAAATATCTGCAAAAAAAAATCCAGCTCAAAGAGCACCAAGTATCCCACGGTATTCCTCATTCATCATTCCTCCTCCTCCTCCTCCTCTTCCTCCTCCTCCTCCTCTCCACTACTACTCCCTTCTAGCAATGATGCTGCTGCTTAGTTGGGCTATGAAATGTCTGCAAGAAAAGCATCAAGCCAAGAAAACATCAAGGATCCCACAGTTCTCCTTCTCCTCCTCCTCCTCCTCCTCCTCCTCTCCCTCCTTCCTTCCTCCTGGCACTGATGGGTTCACCTCTTTGCGTCACAAAACACACGTGGGGAAACTGCCCGGCCCAGAGAGTGCCGAGGGCCCCACGACCCACCGTTTGGCCAGGGTGATGTTGTAGTAGCTGAAGAGCGAGGGCCAGTGGCGGAAGGAGAGCTTCCTCCAAAGTTCTTCATCCTCTGAGCCCCAAGTCACTTCGGCCTTGGAGCCCACCTCCGAGTGCCCCTTGCTCCTGGCATTCAGCGGTTCCTCGGCGTGGCGCTCCGCCTCTTGGTGGCGCGAGGACTCCCCCGTCTGGTTCTCCGAGAGCTGTGGTGGCGGGGGCTGCGCGGGATCGGCCGAGAAGACCGAGAGGGACAACTGGGCGTCCCTTGTGGGAAGGACCTCCCCGGGGACGGGCAGAACCGGCAGCCCTGCTTCGCCCAGGGGGCTCTGCTCCGTGACGTGGGAAGCCAGGTAGAGGCGGACCCCTGCCGGATCGGTATAAACCAAGATGCCAATCCAGACCACCGTCCCGGTCTGTAGGGAAGACAAGTTTACAGCGACCCCTTAACGTAACATTCGGCCCCCTCGCTGGCTTTAAGAGGACTTCAATTCCCAGAATTCCCCAGCAAGCACATCTTAAAGCCTCTTTCCTCGGGGACGGGACTGCACCAGGGACCTTGGAGGTCATCTAGTCCAACCCCCTGAACGAGCAGGAGACCCTTACGGAGACATACAATGGCAGAGATGGAAAGGACCCTGGAGGTCGAGTCCAACTCCCTGCTTTAAGCCAGGGACCCTTAGAGAAGAAGAGAGTTGGAAGGCACCTCAGAGGTCATCTAGTCCAACCCTCTGCCCGAGAGCAGACACTAGAGACCGTTTCAGACACCAGGCACTCCAACCTCTCCGTCAAACGAACGGTCCAAAGTCCAAATCTACCTGCACCCCAGGGGATCTCCCTCGTTAACCTCTCGACCGGCGGCAAAGCGATCCGCCGTTACGTCGAGGAGTATCCGTACCCCAGCCTGTCTCCCCATCTCCTTCCATTTCTGCACCGTCCGATCACGTTTTCGCGGCTTTGACACCGAAACCCAATTGCTGAACCACCAACCCCTCGTGCAGAAGTATCTCCGGGACCTGGACACACACACACACGCACACACAGACACACGCGCGCGCACACACACACACACACACACACACACACACACCATCCTTGTGTGTGCACCGCCGTAGCCCCAAGTCTTACCATGATGATCCTTTGGGCCAGTCGTGTCCGGGCGAAGAAATACACCACCCTCAGCCGCTTAGGGAGACGGAGGTTGCGGAGTGAGGAGGTCTGGAGGTTGATGGTGTGCATAGTGGCCGGGCGCATGGCTGGCTGGCGCTCGTAACGCGGGCAGCGGGAGTTGGGCTTGGGGGGCGGGAGGCAGGCTTCGGCGGGGGGACGCTTGTTGAGATCGGCCAGCTGACAAAGGGACAGAATGGAAACCCACCGGCAGGTCAGAATTCGGAAGTGTCTCTCCTCAGGGGGAGGAGCTACACCGGTTGGAAGGGCCCCTTGGAGGTCATCCAGTCCAGCCCGCAACTCAAAACAGGAGGCACTTACAGAATCGTGGAATGACTAAGTTGGAAGGGGACCCTTGCCGGTCGCGTAGTCCAACCCCTTGGTCAAGAAGTGGACTTTTACAGAATTATCAAAGAACAAAGTTTGAAGGGAACTTTGAGGTCTTCTAGTCCAACCCCCCTGCTCGAGCAGGAGACTCTTACAGAATTAGAGTTGGAAGGGACCTTGGAGGTCTTCTACTCTAACGCCCTGCTCAAGCAGGAGACCCTACACCATTTTCAGACAACTGGCTATCCAGTCTCCTCTTAAAAGCCTCCAGTGATGGAGCAACCACAACTTCTGGTGGCAAGCTGTTCCGCTGGTCAATTATCTTCCCCGTTAGGAAACTTATCCTTAATTCTAGGTTGGATCGTAATAAGTTTCCTCCATTGCTTCTTGCCTTGCCTTCCGGTGCTTTGGACAATAAGAGGAACCCCCTCTTATTGGAAGATGCCCCTCCCCCCCAATCCTTCTTTCCATTAAACTAGACATACCCAGTTCCTGCAACCGTTCTTCATATGTTTTAGCCTCCACTCCCCTAATCCTCTTTGTTGCTCTTCTCTGCACTCTTTCCAGAGTCCCCACATCTTTTCTACATCGTGGAGACCAAAACTGGATGCAGGATTCCAAGTGTGGCCTTACCAAGGCTTTGTAAAGTGGTATTAACCCTTCACGTGATCTTGATTCTATTACTGTTTATGTAGCCTAGAACTGTGTTGGCTTTTTTGGCAGAAGCTGCACACGGCTGGCTCCTATTTAAACGATTGTCCACTAGGACTCCAAGATCCTTCTCTAAGACCTAATATCACTCGGATATGTCCTCTTGGGCCCTCAAGAGATCTCCAAACACCCCAAAGACTTTCCAGTTTTGGGGATTTTTACCTCCATCCGACGGATATCGATGGAGAGGACGGTGGTGAAGAAGAACATCTGGAGGAAGAAGTCAGAGACCAGGCCCACCACAGCAAAAAGGCAGAATTCCTGGAAAGGACGAGAGAGAGGGATGGAGATGAGACCAAGAAGGTTTTCTTTTGGGAGGGGAAGAGAGAGAGAATTAATTTAATTTAATTTAATAGATTTATAGGCAGCCCAATCCCGGAGGACTCCAGGCGGCTTACACAGAACAAGAAAATAAAAAACAGACAAAATTAAAATAAAAATAAAGATTAAAATTCCCCAACACGCATACATTCAAATTGGGCCCGGACCCTACATAATAAGGTCAACAGCCCCAGGCCTGCCGGAACAGCCAGAATGAGAGAGAAAGAGAGAGAAGAGAGAGGGAGAGAGGGAAGAGAGACGGAAGAGAGAGGGAGAGAGAAGGAGGGAATGAGAGAGAAAGAGAATGAGAGAAAGAGAGAGAAGGGGAATGAGAGAGAGGGGGGAAAGAGAGAGAGAGAGAGAAAGGAAAGAGGAAAGAAAGAAAGAAAGAAAGAAAGAAAGAAAGAAAGAAAGAAAGAAAGACAGACAGACAGACAGACAGACAGACAGACAGACAGACAGACACCCCCACCTACCCAGCCATAATAAATAGAGGACAGAGTCTTCCTGAAGGAAATTTCTGGAAAATTGGCTTTTCCCATGAGTTGGGCGAGGATGGTAGAGGAGGGAGTCTCTAAACTTGGCAACTTTAAGACTTGTGGACTTCAATGCCAAGTATGACTGGCTGAGGAATCCTTGGCATTGAACTCTACAAATCATAAGATTCCCAAGGTTGGAGACCTCTGTGGAATCCGTCCTTGAGAGACCGAATGCAGGGCTGATGAGCTCTGTTTGAGCTGTTGGGTCGAATGTTATCAGGATTAAGAGAATGAGGCTTCGTGGATTTATTTACAGGTGCTCCTCGAAAGCTTGTTTGGAACTTGGAACGGTCGCTAAATGGTCGTAAGCCAAGGATCATCTGTACTTCAGAAGAAACCCCCAGAAGCCCCTCCCAGTACCTGGATGGCCGGGACAAAGGTGAAATAGCCAATCAGGATGATCCCCAACTCGGTGCCCATGTTCTTCATGATGGACCAGCTCTCGTTGCTCAAACCTGGAATGAAAGTGGTGAGGACAAGGCCAGTGAAGCCAACAAACAGGAGCAGCTACACCAGCTGGGAATGTGAACGTAATTTAACCGGAAGGAGCTCTTTTCAAGAATAAACTAGAAACTTTTTACAATACAGGTAGTCCTCGACTTGCAACAGTCTGTTTTGTGACCGTTCAAAGTTATAACGGCACGGGAAAAAGTGACATGATCATTTTTCACACTTTACAGCCATTGAAGCATCCCCATGGTCACGTAATCAAAATTCAGACGCTTGGAAACAGTTTCATATTTATGATGGTCACAGTGTTCTGGGAAGAAGGTGCGGTGCACCGGCCTAGGGATGGAGCTGTCGCCTCACAATGAGGAGGTTGTGGGTTCGATCCTAGTTAGAAGCAGTTATTTCTCTCTCTGGGTACACTGAGAATGTATATTTGCTGAACAAAACTCCGCACTGGTGACAGGAAGAGCATCCGGCCATTAAAATACTCCGCTAGCTCCATTCAGTTGCCCAGACTCCACCCCTCAAAGGATGATGGGATTGTTAAAAGAAGACTACTGTGTTCTGGGGTTATGTGATCCCCTTTTGTGATCGTCTGACAAGTGACGTCAGTGGGGAACCAAGATCCAGCTAACAAGTGTGCAAATAAATTAACCCCTGCCATGATCCGCCTGAGCACTGGGGCAAGGAAGGTCATGAAATGGGGGCAAAACTCACTGAACGACCATCTCGCTTAGTAGCAGAAATTTTGGGTTCAATGGTGGCCATTAAGTTGAGGACTAGATGTACAAAAAAGCCCACTCAATGATATCCAGCATCTAAGAAAGATCTAAACGCCTCTTCTCTAATAAGGAATTTAAAAAAAAAAAAACAACCTTGGCAACTCTAAAACCTGTGGACTTCAATTCCCAGAATCCCCCAACCAGAGTTGACCTGAGGAATCTCAGGGAACAGGTTCTGCCAACTAGGATCGGCAGAGCCAGCCTATCACAGCCCAGATCTCAACAGCTTTTTTCTGGGATGACTCCCCCCCCCCCCCAAGGTTACTCTTTTACACACCTTGTGCAATGCGCAGTTTCACTTCCAGGTCAACTGGTGTGGAGACGACTGATTTGGTGAGAACCAGCACGTTCTCGATGCCGATCACAACCACCAGGTACGGGAAAATCTCCCTAGAAGGAAAAGGGAAACGGAAGCTGAACCGAACATTGAATTCGGAGCAACCTGGGAGGAGAAAGGAATTACTTGACGTTGACATATGTGTATATACCACAAAGCCCAGAAGGTGGCAAGGAAAACAGGTTGTGAAGAGAATGCGTACCATCCCAGACAATCCCGCAGATGCTGCTCAAACATTGCTTATATGCTATGACCTGAATTACCAGTAATTTTTTCTGCCGTCCTCACCACTCTCTGCACCACCTCAAATAGCAATAGCAACCACTTCAATAGACCACTTCACAGTGCTTTCCAGCCCTCTATGAGCGGTTTACAGAGCCAGCATATTGCCCCCAATAATTTGGGTCATTTTACCAACCTCGGAAAGGATGGAAGGCCAAGTCAACCTTGAGGCTGGTGAGACTTGAACTGCCAAATTGCAGTCAGCTGGAAGTCAGCAGAAGTAGTGTGCAGTACTGCTTTCTAACCACTGTGCCACCACGGCTCTAAAAGAAAGTATAACTACCTATACATACACATGTTTTCTCCCTCCCTCCCTCCCTCCCTCCCTCCCTCCCTCCGTGTGTGTGTGTGTGTAGAGAGAGGGACAGGGAGGGAGGGAGGGAAGGAGGGAAAGAGAGAGAGCATGTTTCCCTGAAAATACAACCTATCCCAAAAGTAAGTCCTTGCCTGATTTTTACACATGCGCCTAATATGAGTCCTACCCCGAAAATAAGCTCGAATTAAGACCCCAGCCACTCCAGGGTGCACAGGTAAAAATTAAGCTGGGGTAGGGATGAGGGGCTGGAGCTGCCCAACTACTTCTAGTTGCAGCCAGGCCCCGTTAACCACATTCCAACTTGCCCTGTGGTCCCATTTCTTCTGCAGCCAGCAAGGCCTTCCTGAAAGTCTCTGCAACCGATAACAGAGCTCTGTTACCGGCTACAGAGGCCTTCAGGAAAGCTTTGCTGGCCACAGAAGATGACCATGAAGGCCTGACTTTGAAAAGGAGGCCAGGAGTGACGCACACAAGTGAATTAGTCAGTGGCCATCATTCCCCCCACACTCCGAAAATATGGACATCATAAAACCCCCATCCAGAGGATAACAAGAAGGATGTGAAGAGGATGTGCAGCGTCCCAGACCATCCTACGGATCCTAATCAAGCATGGTTTATATGCTATATCCTGGATAGAAGGAAGTAAATTGCCAATGGTATTTTCTGCTGTCCTCACCACTTTCTGCGCTGCCTTTCCTGTCCCAAGCAGGAATGCTTCCAAACCGGACAGTAATGCAATATGACAGGATGCTCTCGATTGTCCCTCTAGAGAAAGTGGTAAGGACAGGAGGAGGAAGATGTAATTTTCTCATGCAATGCAGAAAATCCAGGCGCTGCTGTGCCCACTTCACCAGTGTCTTGGCCGCGGTGAGCTATCAAGCTAACCTACTGGTTTAGCTGCACACTCAGAAATGTGGTGCTGCTAACCACCTCCACAGGTGAATCATTAATACAGAGGTGTATTCATGCCTTTTCTGAAATCAACAACAATCTCTTTCCTTTTCCTAGGTTTAAAACGAGGCTGTTTTTGTTACACCCGTTCAGCAAACCCTCCGCCTCCTTGCAGTTCCCCAAGCCGGCTGGGGAATTCTGGGAGTTGAAGTCCCCAAGTCTTAAAGCTGCCAAGTTTGGACACCCCTGAGCTAAAGGGAGAACTATCCGCTGAAGAGACATGGCTTGGATCCCCTCACGCCTGAAGCCATGCGCCACTGCCGTTCGGTTGCCGCTTTGCCCCCATGCCGGAAGCCCCTCCTCCCCTGCACCTGAAACCGCACACACCTGCCATTCAGCTACTACACCTTCCCCACAGCCTCTGCAACCTCCTATCACCCATTGCACACTGGCAGGTGCCACCCAATTGGATATCGGCTAATTGTCCCATCCAGCTAAAGGCGCGGGGCAAACGGTGGGTCCGCGAAGAGCCAGAGGCGAAGGGCGAGGAAATCTGGTTGCAAATGAGCTGAGGTAGGAGATTGGAGGTGCGGCTAGGGGTGGAAGCCTGAAAGTCCTAGACCCTCCTCTTTCTCCTCTTTGCAAAACTTCTAGCACTGATGATGTTGCCTACTAGGGTCATAAAAAGTCTACAAGAACACAAGCATGCTCAGGGAGCACCAAGGACCCGACAAGATTTCAACTGCAAGGGGAACTTCCTTGGAGTCTGGCTCCGAGAAGGCGCAATGGGGCTGAAGGACTAAGAAGATGGTCATCAGGACTCTGTCCGAAGAAAGATTGCTCAACCGAGGACCCGCTGATGGTTTCTGGCTCGCCGCGGTTCAGCCTGTAAGTCCCGTTTGGCAACTTACCCTCCGTTGAGCGTCGGCGTGAGGCCGAACAACGTGCACAGCCCGACGGACATCAGGAGGGAGCTGAGCACTGTCACAACAGCTGCCAAAGCCAGGCCCCACTTGGATTTCACCATGTCGATCTTTCCTGAAGAGGAAGCAAGGCCCATTAGTCTTTTGAGTGAGACAGACAGAGAAAGAGGCAGCACCCGCGCGGACTTCGTTCCAGATCTGGGAGGAAGAAACAGGAGCTGTAGACCACAGGTGTTAAACTGGATCACGTGATGCATTGAGGGGGATCGTGACGTTTCTTCCCATTGAGGAGCCGGGATGGGTGTGGCCTGTGTGTGAGTCATCCGGCCCGCAGGCCACCAGTTTGACAGGCCTGTAAGTCAAAGACTAACCGTACAGGAAGCCATTTGATGGATTGCTTTAGCTTTATCCTAGAGAGAAAGTACTCGACTTATGACCAGAATTGAGACCAGCGCCCACTTGATTCCCTTTTGCGACATTGTGACAAGCCAAGTCAATGGGGGAGCCGGATTTAAGTGATTAAAGCCCATCTTGCTAATTGAACCACCCCAGGGTGTCAGGTTTCCAAAGAATGCCCTAATTAATTCATGAGTCTCAGGCCAAACTTCAAAAGAAACCTAGTCATTCATTAGGAACATTTATTTTGGCAAGACCTTTTAGCAGTCATATCTGAGCCTCATTTGAATTGTAGCTGAACTTTACCCCCGTTCCTCCCCTCCCCTCAGTCTGTGTCATAAATCACATTCCCCAATGAGGTGCAACCCTCCCAAGTCTGCTGCGGTAATCTGAGATCCAACTCTATCCGAAAGTATGCGTGGAATGCACTCCTCCTCCTCTTTCTTCACCATGACAACTTTAGGAGTTAACACAGGGATTCAGTTAACAACCATGGTAAGAAAGGTCGTAAAATGAGACAAAACTCAGTGAACAAATTTTATTTGCTCCACTGTGGTCGTAAATCAAGGACCAACTGTACACGAAGTTGTTTGATGGCTTGCTTTAGCTAACAACTACGCAGGAAAAAAGATTGTCAAAGGAGGTGAAACATGTCTCACTCAGTGATGGAAAATCTGCGGTTCAATTGCGGTCGTGAGTCAAGGACTGCCAGTCCCGAACAAGTGAAGCGGCTCATTTACTCATTCGCTCAAACTTACGGGTGGAGAAGTAGATGTAAGCAAAGAGGATGACGTAGGTGGTAACGAGAGGGATGAGTTCGGCGACACCGATTTCTTCCTTGAAATGGACATGGACCATCTGGTCTTCCCGAAGGCTACTGTTGGCGCTGGGGTGGAGCAGCTTGAGCCGCGAGCGAAGGCTGGAGAGGAACCTGTCCCAGGAGCACACAAAAAAAGAGGTCCCATCATCCACAAGGCATCTGGGGGAGGGGGAGCTTAAAGGAACTCCCCCAGGATTGTTTCCCACCCCAGGTGGGAAGAAAAAAGCAATTCACTTTTTTCCCAGAGAGATTAAAGGAAGGAGACGGCGAGCTTAATGCAGCAGTGTTTCTCAACATGTTGCCTACTTTCAATAGCGACACCCATATATGCATGCTACAAACACACACACACACACACACACACACACACACACACACACGAAAATCCTGCAGACTCAGCTTAAGCATTGCTTATATGCCCTATTCTGGATGGAAGGAAGTGAACTTCCAATAATCTTTTCTGCCGTCCTCACCACTTTCTGCACTGCCTCAAAAGAATGTATATATCTACCCATAAACACAACACACACACGCACACACACACACACACACGACAATCCTGCAGACCCATCTCAAGCATCGCTTATGTGCTCTGTCCTGGATGGAAGGAAGTGAATTTCCAATAATCTTTTCTGCCGTCCTCACCACTTTCTGCACTGCCTCAAAAGAATGTGTATATATATTTTTCTATTGTTGTGTGATTATGTTGTCTATGTAACAAAAATAAAAAAAAATTCTATAAAAAAAAAGAATGTATATATCTACCCATAAACACACACACACACACACACACACACACACACGGTTTCCCTGAAAACAAGACCTACCCCCAAAATAATCCCCAGTTGAGATTGTCAGACAGACACATTTTAGTAGTATTTCCTCAAAAATAAGACCTAACCAGAAAATAAGCCATAATGCATCTAATGGGTCAAAAATTAATATCAGACATGGTCTTATTTTCGGGGAAACACAAGTATCTACCCACAGCCATACATATTTATATACATATCCCTCCCTGTCCCTCTCTCTCCACACATAAATATTAATCCTTGTCCATTTTGAATACCTAGCAGAAAAAGGGAAAGTGAGCATTCACAAAGTTAATGCTAGATGGAGCAAAATTGTGACCGAATCTGGAATGTTCGTGGAATCTGTACCATGAAGCCCCCTCCCAAAAGGTAACAAGGAAAACAGGTCATGAAGAGGAGGTGTAGCGTCCCAGACCATCCTGCGGAATCCACTCGAGCAACACTTCTATGCCATATCCTGGACAGAAAGAAGTGAACTTCCAATAAACTTTTCTGCTCTCCTCACCACTCTCTGTACCGTCTTCCTGCCCAGAAGCAATAATGTTTCCAAACGAGATAGTTATGCAATATGACATGATGCTCTAGTTTCGTCCCTGTATAGAAAGTGGTAAGGACATGGCTTCCAGGGCAGGATCTTGCTGATGGCGGCAGCTTAACGAGCTGCCCCCGGGTTCCCGGCCGCGTTATCTGCCTAAATACCTGGTAGATAAACTCATTCTTCAGGCAAANGCTCACCACCTTGACAGTCACGGGGTCACCACTGTCATACGATCGAAATTTGGGATGCTTGCCCACCAACTCGCATTTATGACGGTGGGCCCATCCCAGGTGTCACCCAAACCCCAAAGTCAGATGGGGAAGCCCAATTCGCTTAACGACCAGGTAGCTACCTTAAGCAGTGATCCGCTTAACGACAGTGGTAAGAGAGGTCACAAAATGGGGCACATCTCACTTCAACAACTGTCTCACTGAGCAATGGAAGCGGAGGGGGGGGCGGGGGACTGACTGCGGTCGTTAAGCCGAGGACTACATGCAAACTGTGCCCTGTGTGTGCATGTGATGACAGCCGGCAAAGAAACGGTGTCCTGTTTTACGACCTACCCGTCGCGCAAAGCGTGGTTCCTGATTTCCTCCACCAGCTGGAAGACCTGGGCGAGCGGAGAGCGAAAGACGTCGACGGCCAGGAAGCTCTTGGGCCACGGAGAAACGGTGGCTTTCACCAGGACCTGTTGGATGTAGGCCACGGGGGCTCCGGAATACTAGAGGAGAGGAAGACCCACAGGTACTAATAGGGGGAGGGGGAGCAAGGGTGGCGGGGGTATGGTCAGCCTTGCAAGGTAGGCCCGGGAGAAGAAACACCCAGATGAGCCCCTTCTATTTTATGCTAAAGGGATGGCCTTAGAATTTGCAAGGTTATAAACTGCATCTCTGTAAATAAGGAGGAGGAGGAGCAAGAGGAGCAAGAGAAAGAGGAGAAGGAACAGGAAAAGGAGGAGGAGAAAGAGGAGGAGAAGAAGGAGAGGAAGGAGGAGAAGGAGAAGGAAGAGCAGAGAAGGAGGAGCAGGAGGAGGAGCAGGAAGAGGAGGAAGAGGAGAAAGGAGCAGGAGGAGAAAGAGAAGGAGAAGGAGAAAGAGAAGCAGGAGGAGAAAGAGGAGCAAGAGGAAGGAGGAGGAGAAAGAAGGAGGAGGAGAAGCAGGAGGATGAGAAGGAGCAGGCAGAGGAGGAGGTGGAGGAGAAGGAGGAGGAGAAAGGAGCAGGAGGAGAAAGAGAAGGAGGAGAAGGAGGGAAAGGAGAAGCAGGAGGAGGAGGAGCAGGAGGAGGAGCAGGAAGAGGAGAAAGGAGCAGGAGGAGAAAGAGAAAGACGGGGAGAAGGAGAAAGAGAAGGAGGAGCAGGAGGAGAAAGAGGAGCAAGAGGAAGGAGGAGGAGAAAGGAGGAGGAGGAGAAGGAGCAGGCAGAGGAGGAGGAAGAGGAGAAGGAGGAGGAGAAAGGAGCAGGAGGAGAAAGAGGAGGAGGAGAAGGAGGGAAAAGAGCAGGAGGAGGAAGAGGAGGAGAAAGCGAAAGAGCAGGACAAGGAGAAAGAAGAGGAGCAGGAGGAGGAGCAGGAGGAGGAGGAAGAGGAGGAAGAGGAGGAGAAAGGAGTAGGAGGAGATAGAGAAAGAGGAGAAGTAGAAAGAGGAGCAGGAGGAGCAAGAGGAGCAAGAGGAAAGAGGCAGAGAAAGAGGAGGAGGAGAAGCAGGAGGAGGAGCAGGAAGAGGAGGAGAAGGAGAAAGACGAGCGGGAGGAGCAGGAACAGGAGAAGGAAGGATGGGGGGCGGGGTGTCCTTGGTGCTCTCTATGCTTGGTGGTTTCCTTGCAGACATTTCATGACCCAACTAGAGAACATCTTCAGTGCTGGAAGGAATGGTCTATAAACAGAAAGCAAAACTTCTTCCCTTCCAGCACTGATGACGTTACCTAATTCGCTCCCAAAACATCCTGCAGGGAAACTGCCCAGTTAAGAGGTCCTCAGTTCAGTCACGATATCGAATGTCGATTCAAAAGGGGTCGGGGGCCATCCTTACCCAGTCGGGGCGCTCGCTCGGTTCTCCTTGTTGCTGGGCCGGGAAGGGGGGTGGCTGGCCGTAGTCCTTCACCGGCGTCGTGTACTCCACCGGCCCCGTGCCCGGAAGTGGGAGCTTCAGCAACGGGTAACTTGAAAGCAGAGAAATTCAGAATTTACTCCAGAGGCCGGTCCGAGTTTCAGAAAAGGCAATCCCTTTCCTCACCACTCCCAGAATCCCCCAGGCACCATGCTTTAAGAGGGGAGGACTCCAACTCCCAGAATCCCCCAGTCCTCGGAGGAGCAGAGATCTTACCAGCAGGCCAGGACGCAGAGACCTGTGAAGAGGATGATGGGTATCGGGCAGGAGGCACAGCGTAAGCCGTGGTTGTAGAAGGCCCCGGAGATCTTCTCACGGAGGGCCTCAGTCCAGGTCATTCTCGGGGGTCTGGGTCAGCTCGCTGCCATCCCGATGAGCGCCCGCAGAGTGTCAGCACCGGCCCCGAGTGCGAAACGCCTTGTGGAGAAGCAAGAAGGGTAAAATGGCGAAAGTGGAAAGGAGCGTCGGAGGCCCGTTCAAAGTCATTCAAAGCTGGGCTGGGGCCTCGGATTATGCCAGAGCACTTAAAACAGAATTCACCTCCCAGAGAAAAGGGGGCAGGGTAGTCCTCGAGTTACGACCATTTGGTTTTGCGACCGCCTGGAGTTGTAACGGGGCTGAAAAACAGGTATCTATTATGTATCTTCCTTAACTGCCCTTCTCCTATGCTCCTTTTCCTTTCCTTCTTTTTTTCCCTCTCTCCTTTAATCTTCTCTTCCTTCCCTTTTTTCCCCTTTCTTTTTCCTTTCCCCTTTTCCCTTTCTCATTCGTTTATCTTCCTTTCCTTCCCTTTTCTTTCTTCCCTTCCCTCTGATTCCCTCCCCTTCCTTTCTTCTTTCCTGTCCTTTCCTCCTTTTGCTATTTCCCATTCTTTTTTCCTTTCTCCTCTTTCCTTCCTTTCTCCTCTTTCCTTCTCTTCTTTGTTTCCTTCCCTTTTCTTTTTTTCATTCCTTCTCTTTCTCTTTCTCCTTTCCTTCTCCTCTTTCCTTCCCTTTATTTCTCTTTGGTTTTTTCCCCTTTCCTTTCCTCTTCACTGTGCCTTGCCACTCAAATGCAGTTAATTCGATGATAAATCCTTCCAAGCAAGGCTCCCAACGAAATGCGAACCGTTGCCTACTTGACAACGTTACCCACACACTGTGTCATCTTTCTGTGTCATCATTAGAGCACAACAACTGTACAAAAAGCTTCCTGATCTTATCGAAGTTCAGATGAAATCCCCACGGGGGTTTCTAACTCCTTCCTTGGTTTTCCTCCGCTCCCGTGTTGCTCAAGGCTGCCAGCTGGGGAATTCTGGGAATTGAAGTCCACTCACTCATCCTGATGTGGCCAAGGTTGTTAAACGGATCGATGGATGGGANACAGTATATATGTGACTGTATGAAATGAAAATGAAAAAATGAAAATAAAACATTTGAATACTTGAAAGTGGTAAGGACAGAGGAAGGAAGATGGATAGATATTAAAAATATTACAGTTGTAACTCAAGGACTACCTGTACTTATAATTTGCCATAGTACACCACTGATTTGCTTAAAACCGCAACGATTCACTGAACGACCGCCGCAAAAATGGTCATAAAGTCATAACAGTTACCCATTTTGTGTCAGAAGGTACAACCATGATGGGCAGGCTTCATTGCAGTCGTAACTAGAAACCAGTTGCATTACTAGAGTAAAGGCCAACTTAGATGTGGCTATTGCTGATCCATCCAGGGACAAATTCTCCAAAATATGGAGTTTAAGGATCTTAACAGAAAGCCACATGAGAGGTGGAGGCATCTCTAGAGAACATCACAAAGAAGACCCCAGCTGCCCAAAAGTTTCTCCAGTGTATTTCAATCTCGGAAAGCAACTCACCTGGCGTCATAGTGACGAAGACCCAGAGTGATGGCATAGATGACCACTCGCTTCCGGTTGTAGAGACTCACCCCACTGTACTTTCCCGGGACACCAAACAGGAGATCTGAAGACACCAGGAGAAGAACAGGAGGTGAGTGGAAAGGACACCTTACCCCAAGCGATGAACAAGGGGGTACAAACACCCATCTTGAAGGACGCGATTGGGGACCTGGAAAAACCACTCAATTTGGGAGATCCTGGTGCATGTCCATTGACATCCCTAAGTCAGTGGGATCCCAGTGTTTCTCAACCTCTACATATTTAAGATGGGTGGATTTCAACTGGCTTGGCTGGTTGGGGGAATGCTGGGTGTTGAGGTCCATTGAACATGAAGTAGCGGAGGTTGAGAAGAACTGGTCGCTCCTGACATTGACTGGAATTTCTGCAAGGACCTCCAAATTTGGCAAGACTTGTGGACTTCAGCTCCCAGAATTCCTCAGGCAGAATGGCTCTTTTCCTTTCTTCTCCTCTTCCTTCCCTCCCCCTTCCCTTATCCTCTCTTCCCTCTTCTCCTTTCTTTTCTTCTTCATTCTTTCCTTTACGTTCTTCCCTTCCTCTTGTTCTTTCTTCCCTCCCTTTCTTCTCTTCCTCTTTCCCTCTTCTATCCATTTCCACCATTTCTTCTCTTCCTTCTAATCTTCTTTAATTATTTCCTTTCTCCCCCCCCCCCTCTTTCCTTCTCTCCTTCCCTCCCTCCCTTTCTTTCTCCTCTTCCCCTCCCTCCTTTCTTCCTGTCTCTCCCTCCCTCCTTCCTCCCTATAGGTGGCTGAGGAATTCTGGGAGTTGAAGTCCACCCATCTTAATGTTGGCAAGATTGGGAATCACAGATCTACCAGTCTTTCAACACCTCAAGGCAGCCTTGGCTGAAGACCCCACAAGGTGACCAGCCCCCACTTCCCCTTCTCTTCTCAAGGGAGGACTTCGACTCCCAGCATCCTCAGCAATCCTGGAGCGGAGCCACGATGGCCGCTCACATCCTTCTGGTTCAGGGGCTCCACCCGTACCCTTCGGTGTGGCCGACGTCTGCAGAGTTTTGGGTTCGTGCTGGTGGATGGTTTTAATAATATCGGGGTCGGCGCCAAAATGTTCCTGGTCGTTCTGCCAGAAGTTTGCTGGGGAAAGGAGGAGGCAACCATGTTCCGGCAGAAGCCCCCGAAGTTTCTTCAAGCTGGGCAAGAGATCCGTCACTTGAAGGCAGATGTCGTCCAAACTTTTAATCTGGGAACTTGGCGGCAAAAGAGAAGAAGGGAGAAGGCGCCAATGTCAACCGAGCAAGGATTTTGTTATCACTATCGACAGCAAGAATACGCTACACACAAACACGGAAGGATGGAGTGGTATGGTGGCCTAGAGGTGGAGCTCACAATCAGGAGGCTGTGAGTTCGATCCTAGATGGAGGCTGATATTTCTCTCTCTGGCCACAATGAGAATGTTATCTGCTGGACATAACTCCGCATTGGCAACAGGAAGAGCATCTGGCCACTAAACACTCTGCTCCATTCAGTTGCTCCAACTCCATCCCCCAAGGGATTACGGGGTCATTAAACTATAAGCAACAACCACAAAAATGGAAGGGGGCTTTGATTCCCACAACTTGATGGAGCGATGGCTAAATTGATTGCTTTGATTAAAGGAAATAATACAATTAATTTTTTCTCTATGTGGAAACAACTTCTGGACTTTATGCTTGAGGTGAGGGGGGGAAAAATGTGTTCTACCGATTATAGAGTTTCGTGGTTATAGAAGTGACTGTTGTATATTATTATATAAATGCTAAAAACTTGAGGTTTCCTGTGACTACAAAATCTTCGATATATGACCCACCATGCAGCCTAACATTTATGTTGTTAAGTGAGACATTGTCCCATTTTTACGACCTTTCTTGCCATGGTTGTTAAGTCAATCCCTCCAGAGATTAATTTAGCAACACAGTTGTTGTTAAACGACTCTGGCTTTTCCCTGTTGACTTTGCTTATTACAAAAGGGGATCGTGTCACCCCCGGACACTGCGACCGTCATTAATACAAATCAGTTGCCAAGCATCTGGATCTGGATCACCTGACTGTGGGGATACCACGACAGCTGTGTGAAAAATGGTTATTTTGTTGCGTTTTTGCATTTCATAGTTTATGTTTCTTCTGAATTAAAATCACCAGGACCGGACGGATTACACCCCGGGGTTCTGAAGGAACTGGCAGGCGAGATCTCAGAACCACTGAACTATATCTTTCAGAGATCCTGGAGCACCGGGGAACTGCCAGAGGACTAGAAAAGAGCTGATGTGGTTCCCATCTTCAAAAAAGGTTAAAAAAAAATAGATCCAGGAAATTATAGACCTATCAGCCTGACCTCAATACCAGGAAAGATCCTGGAAAAGATAATCAAGCAATGAATTAGCGAACACCTAAAAGTAATCAAAGTAATAGCCAAAACTCAACATGGGTTTGTCAAAAAGAGATCATGCCAGACTAATCTTATTGCATTCTTTGACAAGGTGACAAAATGAGTGGACCAGAGGAATGCCGTCGATATAGTTTACCTGGACTTCAGTAAGGCATTTGATAAGATAGATCATAAC